GGGCTCCTGATGTGTTTTTGTTTGTTTGTTTGGGGCTGGTTGTGGGCTTGAACTCTAGGTTTGGGTGCTGTCCCTCAGCTCTTCAGCTCAAGGCTGGCACCCTACCATTTGAGCCACAGCACCACTTCTGACCCTTTTTGCTTTTGTGATGCTGAGGAATCAGATCCAGGGCCTCATGCATCCAAGACTAGCGCTCTATTGCTGAGCCACCTTATCAGCCTGAGCTCCTGCTTACTATCAGGTGCTGGCGGCCTGTGTTGCCCAATTCCCAGCCTAGGGTATATGGGTGGAGTTTTGGTGGGGTTTGGGCTTCTCTTGTCCTGGGCCTCCAGGTCTTTTGTTGTCATAGGTGTGCTTCCGGGGGAGTGTTGTTTCCTGATTTTCTCCCCTCTGTTGAGGCATATGCTCAGCTTTTTACTTCAGTTGGGAGGAGTTGGTTGTGTTGTTCAGGCACCGGATCCCCGGGCCTGGTTCCGGCCCCAGCCTGGAGCGCGCTTATTAGGACTGTGCTGATGTGTATACCACCTAGGTTATGCAACCTAGAGGACACAGTTCAAATTTCTTCTACTGTTGGTAGTCTTGACCCAGGGGGGTTGTTCCTGGCTTGGGCATTTAAGCTCCCTTCCAGGGACACTCTTGCTCTGGCCTGGCCAGCAGAGTGTGCTCCACGGGCTGGTGGAGCTCTCGAACAGTTCCCAGTTTTAGTGGGTCTTGTGGTCTGGGTGATGGGGTAGGGAGTCTAGGTCAGGGTCTGGGGATTCCCTCCAGCTCTGGTCTCCCTTGAGGGATACACTGTCCCCTGTGGGGTACTCACCCTGGAGCTGGTTGTTTCTGTGTGGTGTAGGTCGTCAGTTGTTGCTGCAATCCGAGTTCAGTTGGGGTGGTTGCGGGCTGGGTTGGCGGTGGTGGCTCTGTGTGATTCTTTTCTGTCTCTGCCTCTATCGAAGCTGTCGGGTCAACAGTGTCCACGCTCAGGCGGCTTCTTCGCGGGTTGTAGAGATCCGGTGGGTCTGACGCAGGCGACTTCTGCGTCGGTGATCTGCAGGCAGCCCCCTGTGGCCTCTGGGACCCGGGTGGTCCCCTCCGGGTCATTGCGATCGCGATCGGGCGGGTGGTCTGCCAACAGGTCCCTTTGTTGCGCTGCTGGTGCGCGGCTTTGGCGGGATGGAGCCTCTCTGCTCCGGTGGAGAGTGAGGGGTGGGGGTGAGATCCTCGTGGAGACTCCTGGCTGGTAGGTTTCTCTGTTCCTGGCGATCCCGCTGTTCTGCAAACCGGTACCTGGTGATCTGCAAGCGGCCCCCTGTGTCTCTGGGGCTCCGGCAGCCCCCGCCGGGCCGGCTGGCCGGCGGCTTGGCGCACTGCCATGCGGCCAGTAAAGGTTGAGGGAGGGGTCTTCGCTCTTCTTTGTTCTGAAATTTTTCTTTTCCTGTCTTTCTTTTTTTGTTATTTTCCACCTCTGGTTTTTCTCTGAGTGTTCGTCTTTTTGTTGTTGTCGGTCTCTTGGGGAGATTAAGCGTTGGAACTCGAACTCTCGTTTTGGTTGGAGAGAGCTGTGGCGTTTCCCTACTGCCCCGTCACCATCTTGGTCCCCCCTCCCAGTATGTTATTTTAAGAACCCCCCCAGACTCCACCTTCTCTTTCCCAAGTTTACCCATGACACCCCAGTGAGGAATGATTGCCATGGTATTTAAAAGGGATATTTAAAGTAAGGATCTGTGAGTCAAGAATGGTGGATAAGGATGATGAGGGAAAGGCTGTGTGCTAAGTCTATGTGCTGGGTATGGGAAGCACTAGCCAAGTGAAGAACGCTGTCCTTACCTGCAAGGGAGCCTCGGTGGAAGCATCGCTGCTTAATCCTACTTGGGGTTTCATGCTCTTGTTGATGCCAAACATTGTTTGTTAAATTGACACATTAAGTATTTAAGTATTGCATTCACTTTGTGGTTACTGGCTCACGGTTTATCTTGGGAATTCATTCCTTAAAGATTTGCTGCCGAAATGCTTCTCACATCTGAGTTTCTAATCATTGTTCTGGTTTAGAATGGTCTCCTTTCCCTCCTCCTCTTTTCTTTTCCTCTTTTCTTCCCCTCTCCTCATGCTCTCTCCTGCACTTTTTCCTTTCTCTTTTTAGTTCTGCTGTCTCTTCTTTCTGTTCTCCCTCACACGCATTCTTTCTCTTTTCCTTTCTTCCTTTGTTTCCATCTCTGTTTCCACATCTCTCTTCTGTCTGTCCATCTCTCTAGGTATAAGCTTTATTCTTGCATTCTTTCAGTATTCCTGTCTAGATGAATAATTAGTGTGCAAGAAATCCTTTTTTTTTATGGTACAATTAGGAAATGCCTCCTGTGTTGCACAAACTCCTATGCTTCATTTTCCTTGGCTTAAAAGTTCAGGCTGGATGTGGTAGGTGGCTCATACTTATAATCCCAGCTATTCTAGAAACAGATATAGAAAGATCACAGTTCAAGACCAGGCCTGGGGAAAAAGTGGTACTCTTCCTTAACCAATCAAAAGCCTGGCATAGTGGTATACACACACACACACACACACACACACACACACACACACATATATACATACATATAAATGTGTCAGATGCATATGTGTGTGTGTGAGTGTGTGAGATCTCAGTAAATAGGATTGCTGTCAGTCTCAGACACAAGTGAAACTCTATCTAAAAAATAATTAAAGTTAAAATAAAGTACAGAATGTTCTGGGTCCTGATGCCTTCAAGGAGCTCCTGTAGTTGCCCAAGTTTTGTCCACCTAACCTGGATGACTGCATATTAATCCAGAAGCAAAAAGAATTAACTTGCAATGAATGCCTCCACTGGCCCTTTCTCCTTTCCTGTCTATTCTGTGAGTGGAAGGTTGTTCAGAAACTCCTCATGACTCTTTCATGGTGTTGGCTGAGCTAGCAGAACCACTTTAATGCTGGAGTGAGTGTTTTGATCCCCCTGCGGAAGAAAGTCTTAGATCCTGCCTCCCAGAGGAGGCTGAGCTCAAGAACCCACCCTGTGTGTGAAGATCCACTTTAAATGGCCTCAGTGATAAGATGTTTAGTTATTTGTTAAAAAGGAGAGATATCGCTCTTCCTTCCCCATCAAGCCAGGGCGGGCCCCTGGCTTGCTGTTCTGTACCAGTAAGAACATTTCCCCAACAGGTTCAGTGCTGGGCATGGAGCTTTGAGTATACTTTGTATCTCACCTTGTGGTGTGCTAAAAGTGACCTAACCATCAGCTTTCCTGATTGATTTCTCCTTTCCTTCCACAGAACAATGATGGCAGCATCGACTTCCGAGAGTATGTCATTGGCCTGGCTGTGCTGTGCAACCCTGCCAACACAGAGGAGATCATCCAGATGGCATTTAAGGTATTGTCAGACCCACTTGCCCATTCCCAGTCATCTCTGTCAACAAATGTTGACTCTAAGTGTATTATCTGAAAAGCCAGTGGACCTGTCACAGGAGCGTGTAGACCCGCTGTGACATGAACAGGAATAATGTGATTAAGTCCATTATTAAATTGAGAATTTAAAAAAATCAAACACCACCACAAACATCCATTTAAACAAAAATGGGAGCTGCCTGGCAAGATTGACAAACAGGTGATTGAGCAAATTAGCTTAAAAATTATTTCTTTTTTGGCTTCATGTCTGAAGCCCTGGAGTCAGGTTTATAAATAAACACCAGTTGTTGCTCTTCACCCTAATTCACTCTCTGGAAAAGTCTGATCTGCCCTTCATTTCTCATTCCATGTGTCAGAGATCCTTGAAGGTCATTGGGCTGATAGGATTTATTTTGTTGGGGGGAGGGGGGCAGTCAGGTGAACCCTTGTCCTAAACATCCCAAGTTCTTACCCTGTGTCATCTTCCCAGAGTATCAGGGCGTTTTCACAGCAATGGTGACTGGGAGAGTTGGCATTGTGCTGCTTCCGATGACATTCCTCACCTACAGGGGCACAGAGGAACAGGAAGACTACATTGCAAAGTGAAGTAGGGGAGTAGGTCCATGTAAATGAGTTTCAAGCTGATGTCATCTCTCCAGTTAAACAGAAGCTTCATCTACTGGTCTTGTGAGCTATTCTCCTGTCTCTTGTGCAGTCATGTGATCTCTTTGCCTTTCTTCCGCTTGGATGCTGAGGACTTTTTTCTCCCTGCTTCCCACTCTGACCCCTTCCTGATGGTCTTGGAGACCACTGTGATCGCTCCCATTTTGTAGAGACTTCTCTTGTCCAGAGTTCTTTCTCCTGCCTGCCTTAGAGTCCACCAATGATAGTATCAGGGACTTTTTTGTGTTTTGTCGTCAGTAAGAGAGTCGCAAGTTTACTTGTTATCTTGTTGGCTTAAGCAGCGGCTTATAAAGAGCCTACCTAGTTGATGTTTAGCAGAAAGTCATAAAGCAAGGGCCAGAAATGTTTCAGAAGTTTCAAATCTTCATTTTTTACAGACTTACTCATCATACAACCTAAAATTACACACATAGCTAACTTATTCCAATCTAGACATTTATATTTCTGTTTTGGGTTTGCATGTGTAATGATAAGTTTAGCTAAGCAAATAGTCACTTTTTGGTTTACCAATGAAAGACTTGATAGAAAACTTTCCCCTACTCCATCACAGTAATTACTGTTTTTAAAGAAGTCGTGAGAATTTTGTCTAGCCTCGACCTTGGTTTGAGGATGGATGGGAGGCAAGGAGAAAGGAGGACTTACAACTATAAATAGCAGTTTTTTCCAGTAAGGCAAAGGTCATGCTCTATGTTCATTCCTTCATTAATTAATTAAGGTTTTCTTTTGTAAGACAAAAATCTCACTATATAGCCTGGGTTATTCTCTCTTTCAACATGTGGCTCTCCTGCCTCAGCCTCCCCAGGCACTTGAATTATATTCATGCACTACCATGTCCAACTATCATTGGTATTTTTAACCAATATAAGCTTTATGCTTTCTGGGTTGTCTTTTATATTTTTAGGAATACTTTTGCATATGTTTAATTTTTATTTAATGTTTATACTATATAGGATTCTATACATTCTTCTCTTGGCTACCACTTCATTTTTTTTTTTATTGCCAAGGTGATGTATAGAGGGGTTACAGTTACATAAGGTAATAAGTACATTTCTTGTCAAACTTGTTACCCCTTCTCTCATTTTTCTCCTTTTTTTTTTTTGGTTGTGGGTCTTGAACTCTGGGCCTGGGTGCTGTCCCTGAGCTCTTTAGCTCCACTAGTGCTCTATCATTTGAGTCACAGCGCCACTTCCAATTTCCTGGTGGTTAACTGGAGATAAGCGTCTCACAGACTTTCCCGCCCAGGCTGGCTTTGCACTGCAATCCTCAGATCTCAGCTTCCTGAGTAGCTAGGATTACAGGCATGAGCCACTGGCACTTCCTATTTAACTTCCTATTATTTTTATTTCACCTTCATAGTGACCTTTAGAGGTAGAATGTTTGTACCTCAATTTTTTAGTTGCAAGTGACAGGACAGACTCATGTGCCTTAGTGGAATTAGTTAGGAGGCCAGGGAGTGGTCTGAGGAGACTTCTCAGAACTCACAACCTGTTCCCTGCTTCCCTAGGAAGGCTCCCAAAGAGCTTATTCAAGCCTCATCTGGGGCAAGATACATTATGTTCTCCTCCCATGATCCTTTGTACTCACTCTTGATATCATCCCTCTTGAGAGTCATATTTCTTTCTTCCACTAAACAGGACAGGATTTCTCTCTCTCCCTCCCTCCCTCTCTCTCTCTCTCACACACACACAAATAGCCACAGTCACAGTAGACATTAGAATTATGAAAGAGTTTATTATCTAAGCTCATTCAATACCACCTATGCTCTGGGGGTCTTTCCTTTCAGCTCTTTGATGTCGATGAGGATGGCTACATAATGGAAGAGGAGTTTACCACTCTCCTGCAGGCTTCTCTCGGAGTGCCTGACCTTGATGTCTCTGGTCTCTTCAAGGAAATTGCCCAGGGGGATTCTATCTCCTATGGTGAGTAGGCAGTTTGGCTCTTGGTTTACACAGAGGGCATCCAGATGATGAATTGAAACACAGAAATGTTTCTCTTAAATAGTACAAATAATAGCAATAATGAAGGTGGTGGTGCTAACAGTATTGTTATATGGCCGTAGGAGCTAATTATTGAGGACTTGAGCATGAAGCACTCCTCTGAACATTGTGTATATATGAACTTACTTACTCTTTGCAACAAGCCTATTTAACCCATATTTCCTTTTTTTCAAGAAGGGTACTCATTAGTTGATTGAGTACAAAGAAGTTAACTTTCCTATGATCATCCCAGCTAAAGAATGCTAAGCAAGGATTCAAAATCCATGGCAGAGGCCAGGCATGGTAGGAAATAGTTGTAATCATGGCATTCAGGGGGAAGGCAGGAGGATTTATGAGGGTTTGAGACCAGCCTTGGCTATATAATGAGCGACGTGACCTATGTCCAAAATAAGAAAGAAATCCAAGACAGTTTGGCTTTAGAGCCTGTATCGTTGTTACCGTTGTCTCCTGTATTTGCTGATGGTGTGGCCAGGCAATATTGAGTAGCACTGAGCAAGTTGGGTTGAAGCTACAGCCGGCTATGGACCAGCAGTAATAACTAATCATTTTTGTCTGTTCTATTGTAGCCAGGTAGGTAAGCTTTAACATTCACCACCTTCTAGCAGCCCTTGGGAGGAAGGCCATTACTGACAAAATCCTGTGGTGCCATCTTGAGTCCATCCATTAGTGACTGGTGGACCTTGGTCTTCTGAACAAGTTTCCTAGGGCTGAAGGAGGGTGATTTAGTTTCCATGCATGCACAGGGGAGAGGGCTAGGTGGTTCCTTCCTGCCTTAGCTTCAACTTCGTCAAGGAAACCAGGCTGGCTTTATCCTCTAACCTTCTCCTCTGACTGAAGGGTTGTCCCTCTTGGCATTCAAAGGGTTTTAGCCAGTTAACTTTCATGGAATGGGAAGAACAGACAGTAAACCCTGTCTTTAATTACTGTCATTGTGGCTGCCTAATATTGTCTTTAAGATAATTAAGTGCCTGGGGCCCTTAACCAATTGAGTTAGTTAAAAAACAGGCAGGATAAAATAGGGAAGTGTTTGTACAGGCATGACTCTTGATAAATCCATGAGTACTAATTCTCCTCTGACTATTTTCCCCTCATAAATACTCTATTTCAACTACCAAGTGGTGAAAAACTGGAGCAACTATTTCATTGGAAAATAATACTAAGTGATTTGTAGCTAGCCTTTCTGTGATTTTTTTTAAGAGAAGTATACTTTTTAAAAAAGAAAAAAAAACTTCAACCCTTTTCTTTTCAAGATATACAGAACATCTTCCTCTCCCATTATCGATTCCCCTCCACTGCCAATCTAGTGGGGTATTGTTTGTTTGTGCTGGTATTGGGGCTTGAACTCAAGCCCTTTAATACCACTGAAGGTCTCTCACCAATGGGAAACATTCTGTGTATTCTGAAAAGAGAAAGATAGAAGGTTTTTATTTTAAAGCATATTTCTTTTAAAAAATACTTAAATTGGTAACAGTAAGTCTAGCTATAAATCACTTAGTACTATTTTCCATGGAAATAGTTGAGCTTTTGAACAAAGCACTGTGTTGAAACAAAAGTCCTTGGTTTCACTAGATCAACTCTCATGCTCAGTTGTCTTGCAAAAGTGTCCCAGAAGTCTTCTTTCCCATATAGACATAGCACTGTGGAAGAGAACACACACACTTCAGAACTGAGAACAGCACCCTGTATTTGGAACACCAGCTTACTGGAGACTTGGCATTCAGTCCTGATACTGATCAGCCTTCTATACCCATCTCCTCTCTTGATCTAAAACATTTGAGATGTAAAGCAGTCTACTCCTCAGAGGCCTTGTGATATGATTAATATGTACACTATTTTAGCCATTATTGACTATAAACCCCGGCTCAATTTTTTTTTTATTTTTTATTTTTGCCAGTCATGGGGCCTGAACTCTGGGCATAGGCACTGTCGCTGAGCTCTTCAGCTCAAGGCTAGCACTCTACCACTTGAGCCACAGCGCCACTTCTGGCTTTTTCTGCTTATGTAGTGCTGAGGAATCAAACCCAGGGCCTCATGCATGCAAGGCACTGAGCCCCTTCCCAGGCTCCCTTCCCCTGGCTCAATTTTTCAAGACTGGGTCTTTCTATAGCAGAGTTAAGATCTAAAATAATTTTAAAAGCCATCATAGACAGCTATTGCTAAAAATACCTCAAAAACATCAAATGGACTAAGATTTTAATCTAAAGCACAGTGAAGTTTTATAAGGTAAACATTTGTATAACCTTCATCCCATCATTCATCTATTCCTGATAGACAGTGAGCTTACAGTTTACATTCCCACTAGCCATGTTGAAGCTGAGGGACAGAATTGCACAATAATTGTATGTTCAGGGATGTTTGGTATTCTGCATCATGAGCAAAGTAGATTCATCCCAATTTATTTGATTTTTTTCTCTCTCTCCTTCTAGAGGAATTCAAAAGTTTTGCCTTAAAACATCCGGAATATGCTAAGATATTCACAACATACTTAGACCTTCAGACATGTCATGTATTCTCACTGCCAAATGAAGCCCAGCCTGCTCCTTCCATTCCAAGTAATAAAGTCAGTCCTGAGAGCCATGAAGAAAGTCCATCAGACAAAAAGGATGACTGAAAGTCATATTGCCATGAAGAACACAATGGTGTGGGCTTGAAATTATGCAGGCATTTATTGATCATATTTGAAATGTCTGTTGAGCAATAATGTCTAAAATGGAAAGCTTTTTTTGTAAAAATGATAGATTTTCTTACTAAAAATGCTTTTATTAATTTGCACATATTGAGTCATATTCCTTTTCCACTTGCTATAATGCTGTATTGGTCTACTGAGGATAATGCTGCATATTTCTTAATGGATATTTCTAATTTAACTGGCATAACCAAAGGAATACCTCGGTTTTGTTATTTACTGGTCAGCATTGACACTGTAAAGAGTTTTAAAATATACTTTTAAATTCACTTTCTTCTTTTAAGAAAACACAATAATAATATTATTTTTCTCTAATCCTTTCCCTTTCTGGGAAAATAACTAAGAATTTGAGAGAAACATTTCAGTTTTCTTTTTATTTCCACAGATTTCCTTTTCCATTTAAACTTTGATTTCTTGGATCACTAGATCTAGAAAGGAGGGCTCCAGTCATAGATGAGGTTTTGTATTCATGTATTTCCCTCCCACACCTCTCTCTGTGTTTCTCTGTCTCTTTCTACGTCTTCTCCCCTTCTTTCTCTGTATGCTGGTCCTGGGGCTTGAATTTAGGGCTTTGCACTCTTGCTCAACTTTCAAAACCAAAACTGTCACTCTACCACTTAAGCCACAACTCCCATCTGTCCTTTTGTTACTTAATTAGAAACTCAAAGACTTTTTGCCCTGCTAGCTTTGAATCTCTATCCTCCAATCTCAGCCTCCTGAGAAGCTAGGATTATAGGTATGAGCCACCAGCACCCCTCAGGACTCATTTCTCTTTAACTTGTATCTCTACTCCAGGTTTCCTTAAACTACAGAAATCATATGGTTTTACATGAGCTACAGGGTTGGAGCTGTGTTTTACAGATGACTGATGCTGTGGCCAGAGGCGAAGTGGGAATTGCCTTATTGAAGGGGACATTGATTGCCTAATGAGAAAATGAATTGTTTGCCACACAATTAAATTTAATTTGAGTGGATGGTTCAGAAGGTAGCACCTGCCCACTAAGTAAATCAGATTTGTTCTATTTATATAGTTGTAGCATTAATATATTTTACCATCCAGAAGGAAATTTTGTTTCATGTCCTCTCAAATTTTAGAGATGATCTAAAATATCTGCATGAAATCAACCTATCACTAAACTCCAGGGAATCCAAAAAAAACATAATAAGTCAAGGCCATAATTTATGGTCCTGGCAGGAATCCAACAGTAACTTTTTCCATCTAGATCAAACAATTATTTCCCTGACTTGCTGCTTTTATTATGTCTCGTGCCTACATATTGCATATTGTTAGTATCATTTATGTTGGAGATTTTGAGCAAAGAACCCAACTCTGTTTTGTCTGTCTTCCAGAATGTATTAGTGATTCACTCTCAAGCTAGTATTTTGAAGTCATTTTTGAAATTGAAAAGGCTCATGAGAGAGTTGGAGATTGTACCTAATCAAGAGTTATTATTTTAAACTTGTTTTACTTATTAGCAGTTAGTGTTCTAATTTAATAGGTAAATATGTATTTAGGTCATTGAATACCAGAAAATTTCCTCTTTAAGTATGTGTAATTATTTGTGTGTTATTTTTAATGTCTTGAAGCATTTAAGAAATTGTGTGAGAGAAGCTGGAATAATTGCATAAGTAATTCATTATAGTAAGTAATGTTTATAATAATGTTTGTCATATGCAGTGAATGTATACTCAGGTACCATGATTTTTTTAATCATGGAAAAAATAACCACTTATTAAACCTATTAATCACAGAAGAGTAGCACTGTAAATCAAAGGATTTCTGTGAGGGTCTTAAAAATGACCTCTTTGTTCTTCTGGTTTAAAACAATGTTTTATGCACTCTACTTCCACATCTATGAATGTAATATTCCTATGTTATGATTGCATTGCTGAATGAACAAACAGTATATAAAATTCTTGGCAATTAAAGAAAAATTCCGACCTTGCCATTTTGTCTCAAATATACCCATTTTAATATCATGGATTGAATATGTTTTTATTCATATTTATGAATTTGATTGTTTTTTTTAAATTTTATTTTATTTTATTTGTGAACATACTGTATAGAGGAGTTACAATTACATGGGCAGGATAATGCGTACATTTCTTACCAAGCATTGCAGCCTCCTCCTTTGTTTACCCTTCACATCCCTTCTCAGCCTCCCCCCTCCCCCTCAACCCCAATCCTTCTCCTTCCCCCCCTTCCCCCCCCGAATTTGATTGTTTTTATTTGCATTTAAGCTTTATGAAATGTCCAACATGACTTTGATCTAATGAAAAGTCAGATTTTACCCATAGTATCAGGAGCCACGATTCTTAAAGAGCTGGACTTGGCATGGTATGCATGTGAAATAATACACACTTCTCAGTGCTGCTGCAGAGCACACTATGATTTTCTGAGGCAATTTTCTAAGACTTAAAGTGAAGAAGGAAGCTCATAAATTAGTTAAACGTACTATGGTGCTAACTTGGAGGGAGTTACTCTTTGAAATAGGAACTACAGATCCTAAAACCTATAGCCCATCAGTGTTTCAGTCAAAACAGTTCATGGTTTTTTGTTTGGTTGGGTTTTGTTGTTATTGCTGTTTTGTCAGTAATGGGGCTTGAACTCAGGGCCTGTGCACTGTTCCTGAGCTAACACTCTACCTTTTTCAGCCACAGCGCCACTTCCAGTTTTCTGGTGGTTAATTGGAGATAAGAGTTTCACAGACTTTCTTGCCTGGGCTGGCTTTGAGCTGCGATTCTTAGATCTCAGCCTACTAACTAGCTAGGATTACAGGTGTGAGCCACCAGTGCCTGGCTTCTAAACAGTTCTGTTGAAAGATAATGACACACTTGGTGTTTGGTGACAAGATTAATGAGTGACAAGATTGATGAATGACACGTTTGCCTCCCTTTGACTCTGCTTTGAGGCTGAATGTGACAATTGATGGTGGTCTCTCTAGTGAGCAGTTCAAGGAGACTGGCTCCCTTACTTTGAAGTTAAGCTTACCTAAAGTTATTTATATGTGAATATACTTTATTGCCTTTTGTTTCCAACACTTAGATGATGTACTGGACACAAAGTAAACACTCAATATTTGATGCATGTATGAGTAACAACATTTTCTTTTGGTTGTGTCTCATGTGGTATAAGAAGAGAGAAAAACTTGAAAATCTGAAATTATTTTCTCCAGAACTCCTACATAAATTTAAGGCCCTAAGAGATTTTAGTTCTTGCATAGAGTTATATAATGAGCAAATACCAGGGCTGCAATTTAAACCCAAGGCTCTCTGGCCCTGAATATGGGGATTTTTTTTATCAGACTAATGTAATTTGAGCCCATAAAATAACCAAAGAATTACACGTCAGGCTTTAAGTTCCAGAAACATGGAAACCAGATAATCTGAGAACACTGGCCACAATACCACGAAGATACTGAAGTGAATGCCCCACACATATTTTTAGCGTGTGGTTGAGTATATAAGATACTAAGATTGTCTCCAGCAGCCAAAAGAGGAAAGAGAGTGCAAACCAGGAGTATAAAACTGACAGTCACCCTGAAGATATCTGCCAACCTCAGTCCCCAAAAGGCTTCCAGGCCTTATAGCTTTAGGAGACCAAAGATATAGTTTTTATATAAGTTTGGGATTTGGAACTAAGATCCCAGAGGAGAAGAACAAAATGACTTTTGAAGGGCTACATTATCAATAAAAGAATGAGCTGGAAAGAAACCCATCTTCTGTCAAAGCAACAATATGAAGATGTTATCTGTCTGGGCCTGGGCTTCAGACACAATGTTCTATAGTAGATTTATTTTTTTTGTACAGTGCCTGGGGCTTGAACTTAGGGCCTGGGTGATGTCCCTTAGCATTTCAGCTCAATGTTGGTGTGCTAACACTTGAGCCACAGCTTCACTTCCAACTTTTGGGTGGTTAATTGGAGATAAGAGTCTCACTGATTTTCTTACCCAGCCTGGCTTCAAAACACAATCATCAGATATCAGCCTCCTAAGTAGCTAGGATTACAAGTGTGAGCCACCAGCATCCAGCTTTAAAAGGCTTTGAGATTCATTTCTAACCCAGTTTACTTTCAACCTGGGGAACGTTCCATGTGCACTCAAAGGAATACATCTTCTGCACTGACAGAGTGTGGTATTGTATAAATATAAGATCCAGCTGAATGACTGCTCCATCATAGTACTGTTTATAGCAGCTTTATTCACAGGAGTAAAAACAAACTGAGAATGACTCAAATATCCATCACTGGGTGAACAGGTGAACTGTGATACATCTGTACCATGGAGGAACAAGCTATGGACAGTCAGCAAGCTGGAGTAATCTGTAGAAGACTAGAGTGTACCCCCCTGAGAAGAGGCAACCTCACACTATGTACAACTGTTCGTAATGATCGCATTTATGTAATGTTATTGAAAGGAGAAAAGTATGGAAATGGAGAGCAGATGTGTGTTTTACAGAGACTACGAGAATAAAGGTGGAAGAGAGAAGGAGATGGAGAGGCTTTTAGCAGCAACACAAGGAAGCCTGTGATGGAGGTATCTGGGCTGGCCTGTGTCAGGGTCATTTTCCTGACAGTGACGTCCATTGTGACCTTGCAGGATGTTAGCAAGGGGGACCAGCAATCTTTCTGTTATTTCTCAAAGCTGCTTCTGAATCGACAGTTATTTCAAAAAAAGAGTGATTTCATTACTCTCTGGGAGGAAAACATTTTAGGAAGACAAAAGTGGGCATAACAACATATTGAGGGAAAAATTTAAAATCTTAGAACTCTTAGAACTCTACAGACACACTCTGCCAATGTTTTTGAAAAGGTTGATTGGACGAACATGATAAAAACAAATAGAAGAAAAATCTAACTGCAGATGAAAACTTGATCGTATCTATGAATACATATATATCCACCCTAGACTACATAAGTGTTTAGTAAAATTAGAAAAGTCCAAGCCAGGTGCCAGTGACTCACGCCTGTGATCCTACCCACTAAACAGCAGGCTTCAGATCTGAGGGCTGTGGTTTGAAGCCAGCCAGCAAGAAAGTCTGTCAGACTCTTACCCCAATTAACTGCCAAAAAGCGAAGTTTAGCTGTGGTTCAAGTAGTAGTTAGCCTGGAGCAAAAGGCTAAGGAATAGTGCCCAGACCCTAAATTTAAGCCCTAGGATGCACACGTGTGTGTGCGTGTGTGCGCGCATGTGCACCATTCTAAAGATCCTTGAAATAGAAGAGTCTAGCATCCGTGGCTCACACCTGTAATCCTAGCTACTCAGGTTGCTAAGATCTGAAGATCACAGCCAGCCAGAGCTGGAAAGCCCATAATATTATCTCCAATTAACAACCAAAAAAAGAAGAGCTGGAAATGGAGCTGTGACTTAAAGTGGTAAAACACTAGCTTGAGCACAAAAGTTCAAGGAAAGTTCCCAAGACCTGAGTTCAATCCCAGGACCAGTACAAAAGAAGAAGGAAGGAAGGTGGGAAGGAAGGAGGAGGAGGAGGAAGAGGAAGAAAAGGAGGAGGAGGAGGAGGAAGAAGAGGAGGAGGAAGAGA